TTTCGCCGATTAAGTTTTAAAAATTCGTATAAAATCCATTTCTTGGAATATGAGTATGAAAATTTCCCAAAGTGTTAATAAAAGTGTCCTCTTTCCAATGAACCAACACGTTTTGAAAAATAACTTTTCGTTTTTGAGAAAACAATACTTGAAGTTTTGATAAAATTTTCGATGTTGCAATTTTCATCGATAATTTTCAAAATTCGTTATAAAATTAATTTCTTGAAGGATCCTTGTGGAAATATCAACAAGTATTAATTAAAATATAATCTTTTTAATGCAAAAAGCTGTTTTGAAAAGAAGTACACAATATGGACCAACAATATTTGCAAAATGTCTTTTTAAAACATACTTAATCCAAACCTTAGTTTTTTTATCATAGAATTCTAATTCCATCAAAAACTTTTGAACCATTAACCAAAATTTGAATTAAAGCAATTTTAAATCTAAACACATTTATCATTAAAGTACGCGTGGAAGTAATTTCTTATTAATCATTTATAACGGTGGGTCATCATATTACACAAAAACTGAAATGGGTTATTTTAGTGGTAATAGATTATAACAGTTGGCGCTAATGTAGAAAAAAAAGTTAGGCGTGTAAATTGTTTGTTAAATTTTGAATAAACAGGTGGCGCTAATAAATAATTTAAAATTTAAAATCAAAAGAAATGAAGAATCATAATCGGATGTTTACTAAAGCTACCGTGAGGTTAAGAAACGGCCTTTAAAGGTTAAAACTTTCGCAACGAAACGCTTTGAAACTGGCTCATTTATATGGTGTCCTTCAGACCCAGAAGAATCCAAGTCCTTGGCCGTTGTAGTTAGATTTTACCGCTACACCACCAGATGATGTACCTCCATCTCGGAGTGACTTAACTGATTCTTATACCGTTCGGATAATAGACGCTATTTATTATCAGAATTGCCATTGAAATTGATTAAGATTGAAAATAGACGATTTAATCGTCGAAGTAATGATATCGTTAAAATAAATTAAAATTTTACCTAAAATTTTGGACTTTTATCGAATTTTTTCCTCTTCCAATCCTTTTCTGTTGCATCTTTAGAGTTTCACTAAAACACGAACGAAATTTTCTCGAAAACTTGTTAGTTTTGTGAATTTTGCTTAATCTTAACGTGAGCATAATCCTTATTTTAATATGTCTAATAATGTATTTCTCGCGTTTTTTATTTCTGTGGCTTAAACCTTCCTTTTTGCAATGATTCGTTTGGAAGCTAAAGTATTTATTCGTTGTTGCGTAAATTGGATTGTTGTAAACGCTTAAATAACTGCTTTTATTGTCTTCTGAGGAACACTCGTAAATTGTGTCTTCGTGTAAATTCGTTTTTGAATTTAGGGTGTTGTATAAGGTGATGTTTTGGCTTGAGATGTTGATTTTTTTTGGTTGTTTTTGATTTATTTTGGTCCAAATTTCTTTAAAAAAATTTCCGTTTGTTTCTAATACAACATTTTTGGTTTGGGTATTTTGAAATTGTAAAATTGGGAAATTCGATCTATAATTTTCATTGATTTTTTCGAATATATCGTCTCGATTTGAATCTTTTTCATCTCCATTCGAAATCAAATCATCTAAATCATCGGTACACACCGAGCTTGTTTCATGATGCTTCATTCCTAACATTAACATATGAGATCGATTATGAATCCAACCTTTACTCACTGTCCATTGATTCAACCAATCTGGTTTAGGATTAGGTGGTTCTTTTTTGGGAGTCCAAGAACCACGCTTTTTTAAACAACACAAAACCCACAAAAAATCCATTTCAACCGCGCATTTTCGAGTATTTTTACACACTGGAAATAGAATTACAATGCAATACAGGATGTTCTTTCACGTTATGGTTGGGTATTTAGATTTTTAACAATGCCACGTTCAGTGAAGCGTCAAAAAGAGGTTCTAAATAAATAAAAAAAAGTTTTAAATGTAAAAAAGCTCAAAACAACCTTGAACCTAATTTCTTCTAAAGATTACAACTTAACCGCAAAATTTCTCTTACTTAAGAGTTGAGTAAAAAAAAGTTAATTGATTATAATTAACTTGTTTTGAATTGTTATGAAAATCTTGGCACTGACCTAGATGTATTAACTCGATAACAACTTCGTTTTATTTGAGTTCCTTTCGCTTTAGTGAAATTGAAGAAAGTCATCTTTATTGTGATAAAAAAAGGATTTTGTTGACACTAATACAATTTTCATTAATTCATTAACAACATTTAAATTAAAAACACAACTTGCCAATAAAGCTATAATCAAAAATTAAGTTATGATGAATTCATTTTTGGCTCTCCAAGATTGGAAAAGTGCCCTCTTTCCAATGAACCAACCCGTTTTGAAAAATAACTTTTAGTTTTTGAGAAAACAATATTTGAAGTTTTGATAAAATTTTCGATGTTGCAATTTTCATCGATAATTTTCAAAATTCGCTATAAAATTAATTTCTTGAAGGATCCTTGTGGAAATATCACCAATTATTAATTAAAGTATCCTCTTTTTAATGCAAAAAGCCGTTTTGAAAAATCACTTTTAGTTCTTGAGAAATAAATTTTTGAAATGATCGAAATTTTTTCGTATTTTGCAATATTCGCTGATTAAGTTTTAAAAATTCGTATAAAATCGATTTTTTGGAATATAAGTATGAAAATTTCCCAAAATGTTAATGAAAGTGTCCTCTTTCCAATGAACCAACCCGTTTTGAAAAATAGCTTTTAGTTTTTGAGAAAACAATATTTGAAGTTTTGATAAAATTTTCGATGTTGCAATTTTCATCGATAATTTTCAAAATCGCTATAAAATTAATTTCTTGAAGAATTCTTGTGGAAATATCACCAAGTATTAATTAAAGTATCCTCTTTTTAATGCAAAAAGCCGTTTTGAAAAGTGACGTTTAGTACTTGAGAAATAAATTTTTGAAATAATCGACTATTTTTTCCAATTTTGCAATTTTCGCCGATTAAACTTTAATAATTCGTATAAAATCGATTTCTTGGCATTTTAAAAAAGTCTTCTCAAGACATTCGCACGGATCATGCGTGATTCGTGTTCTTCCGTAAATAAGTGATCTAGTTTTAGTGCTACAACCAAATATTTTGTTTTTGAACATACCTTATCTACTCCCCTAACTCAGGGACTGTGAATGGAATCAATGACATCGAAAGGTTCAGAGGCTTCGGCCTCTAAATCCGACCAGGACGGTGAGTCTAGTAGTGGTAACACACGGATCGTCCGTTTAAAAAACAAAACACTAGCGGTAGTGACTCCACTTTCAAAATTCCAAAACTACCAAAAAATACGGGCACTCCGCAAACACCGAACTCGGATAAACGCCCTCTACGTGCATCAACCACAAACCAGTTCACCGAACGGCCTCTCAAATATCAACAAAAAACCAAAACATACAATAACGTATTTTTCGTAAAACCATCTGTCTCACTGAGCAGAATCGAATTGTCCGAAATTTGGACGAAACACTCGTTTAATCCTCGCGACGTAATTATTAAAACACAGCAGGGTTTCATAATTAAATCCGACAATAATAAAACACAGCAAATCACTTATCTAACTCTCCTAAAAGACCAAAACATAATCGCAGAGTTCTCTGAAGCAAAGAATCTCATTCCTTCTACTAAAAAAATACCTTCGGCCTCGTATTCGGCCGTCATCACATCCGTAGATCTGTAAATTGGAGACCAAGAAATTAGCGACGAGCTGAATTCACAGAAACTATCGCATAGATTCTGCAAAAGAATAATTTCAAAAGCCACTAACAATCCAACCTATAAGATTAGAATAATCACAGGATGCGTTGATTCGTACCAAAGGCTACTCCAAGAGGGTTTTTTTTATAAAAACTGTCATTTCCCAGTTTACGAGAGCCGTCCTCCACCACCAATTCCAATTCCATGCAGTAAATGCCGATCCACGGCTCCCAAACCATGATTTTGCAAGATCAGCAATGACTGAGATAAAGTTACTGTATGCAACATTAACAGCTATGTCCCAAAAAAAAACACCTAATCGGAAACTATATTTCTGTAAACCGCATTCACGGTGCGATGTTCGTTGAAACTAAAGCCAAATCGCTAATTAACTTCAGGGATTGGACAATGATCCAAGAATTGGGAAATATTGTGAACAGGGGTGTCAGAGGAGCGGTGGTTATGGGCGATCCTGCATTACAAATTGGAAAAGCTAACCCTCCCAGAATAAATTCTCCACTAAACAACGCCCTCCATTTTACTTTTATGATTGGCACAGAAAGAATACATATATTGTTGGTTTATATACATCCTTTTAGCAAGATAGAAGAAACAATATTTAACATGGCTGCACGGTACGACAATTGTCTAATAATCGGTGACTTTAACCCAAACCCAGCCAAAAACAGACACATCCATCAATTTGTGAATATGTCAAATTTTGTGCGCATCGCAACACCTCCGACGTTTGTAATGGCAAATAATCCCAACTCCAAGCCTGATTTAATCTTCTGCACAAACAACATAAGACCGCTCATCACGTCTGTTAATGTCATTCCTGATCTGTGCTCTGACCATCTGGGTCTTGTGATCTGCATTAATACAACCACTCGAATACCTAAAGTAGCTCCTACTCTGATCAAAAACTATAAACTTTGTAATATGGAAAGAGTGAACGCAGGAATAAAGGAATATGTGAGATCTAACCCTGTTATCACACCCGAGTCTATCGCAACCTTTAATAAACGCTTGCTTAATTTGGTGGATGAAGCGAGCCCTTCTTACAACAAGAAACATTACAATTTCCCTCTGCCACCATTTATTCTCCGTTTAATTAAAGAAAAGAGACGACTCTACCGCGATTTTAGATCCTATGAGGAGCCTGCTCTGAAAAGAATGTTCAATGAGCTTAATAAAAATATCCAAAAGCTAGTGCAGCAATTCAGAAGTGAAAAATACATTGAGGCCTGTGATAAAATCAACAGAAGCAAGGGTAAAAACTACTGGCAAGAAGTCCGCAAACTTTCGAAGTACCAAAAGTCCCCAGAAACCCAGGAGCTTATTGACCCTACGGATGGCTGCTCACACTCTAGTCCGGAAAAAATCGTAAATATCCACGCTGAATACCTTGAGAGGGTGTTTTCCTTCAGCAATGAGGCCCTGTTCTGCCCTCACAACAAAAACACAATAGACAATTGGTACCAACACGCCTTTCTCAATTCGTCCGAAACACCTCAAGATGCTCTCATGCAGGAAGAAGAATACTTCACACTTCTTAACAGAGGAACCAACACAGCCCCTGGATACGACAACATCTCAAGGGAAATCTTAAGGAAGCTGGATCTTGATATCCACGCCTACATAAGAAAAATTTACAACTATTGCCTTACCACCCAGCATTTCCCACAAGATTGGAAGACCTCTATTATCATATGTATCCCCAAGAAAGATTCTTCTCTATCCGACCCTGCGAACTACCGTCCTATCTCATTGCTACCCGTAATGGGGAAGCTTTTCGAGGTGCACTTGAAGAACAAGCTGCTCGATGTTGTTGCAAGGAGGATTCCGTCATACCAATTTGGATTCCAACAAGGTAGATCTACATCTCATCCCTTGGCAGTGCTTGTCTCAAACTTCCAAGTAGCACGTTTCCAAAAACAACAATCCGCCGCAGTCTTCCTGGATGTTCGGAAGGCATTCGACTCCGTATGGCACAGAGGTCTACTGTACAAGCTAGCTATGTTGAAAATCCCATCTTATCTTCTTAACCTGCTAAAAGAATTTCTTTCAGACTGCTCCTCATTGGTTAAAGTGAAGAACTACTACTCTCACAGTTTCACCGCTCAACAAGGTCTCCCTCAAGGCTCTCCCATCTCGCCAGCACTGTACAACGTCTACTGCCATGACATCTACAACAACAACCCAGACGTCTTCGATCCGATGTCTTACGCCCTACTCTATGCCGATGATACTACTCTCGTCGCACATGATGTAGACATTCCATCATCAATCCTAAGGCTGCAGACGCTCATCCAAAACATAGAGGAATGGTACCGAAAATGGCGTATCCTGATAAATCCTTCCAAAACCCAATTCTTCATCCCCTTCCTCCCTATTCGCTCCTCCCACAATAATAATTCAATCTTCTCCTATCACAGCATCATCAACTTGTAACTACCTCGGCATTACCTTGGATAGAACCCTTAAATTCTCTACCCACGCCATCAAGGTAAAAATGAAAGTCAAAAACTGCGCCAAACACTTCCGCTCACTCTCATATAGAGGCCGAGGGATATCCACTAAATGCGCTACTCACATATACACCTCAATATGCCGACCTATTATCGAATATGCCTCATTAATCATGACTGAAGCGCCCAGAGTATCACAGTACCATCTGGAAGTAGCAGAGAGAGCAGCCCTGAGAATTATCACTCGCATTAAACACCCTCACAACTCACTTTTCAACCCTTCCAACGAACTCCTGTACGACCTTACAAAGATTTCTCCTATAAACTCCCGTCTACAATCCTTATCCCTTAAAGCAACTATGAACTTCCCCAAAAACGGCCTAAAAAATTTCATCATCACTCCCCTCTCCCTTAGCCACTGTCCCATAACACGGCTCACACTGCTTAAAAAAATAAGGCCCAACTGAGAAGACCTAAATACAACCAAACCGAATGTCACGGGCAGGAAGACTAAGGTCTATAGCCCTTTTGGACTCTTTTTTTTATATTTGTTTTATATATGTATTTCTTTTCGTATTTGTTATTATTTTTATATAAGTCCAAATAAATATTCTTTTCTTCTTC